AAGTGTGGATCCTGTCTTTAGTAACACAGACATATTAGTATCTTTTTGGTATTTCTGCCTGATGATAGCATGAACGTGGTCCTTGAGGAGCAAGTTTTCAGTTGAGATTGCTCCAGAAAGCTTAATAAGATTTAAAGCCAGGGGCCTGTAAATCCCAGTGTCAACCCAAGATTTTTGTTAGTGACAAAATCTGACCTTTTGATACCTCCCACTATGATGCTTCATATTCAGAACAGAAACACAGCTTGGCTACTGCCAGTCTAAAAATACACAAATTAGACACGAGATCACCAATGAAATGGCTTTTTGCCCTACTATAGCTGAAAAGCTATCTCTCAAACACTGTATTCAGATACACAGTGTTTGAAGAATGCAAAACGTCAGTTTTTTCCCTGTAGTACAGTTAGGGTCACAGCTAGGACAACAGTCCTGTATTTCTGCTACTTTGTTTCACAAAAATAAAAGAGGACTGATTCAGTGTTTCCAACCCTTTGCTTATAGAAGGTAATGAAACAAAATTTCTTTCCTCTTTTCATTTGGTGAAACAAGGCAATGATTTTCACTGGAGGAACCACCAGATGCCTTTCCTTTTCTCCCTTGATGTGGAACATCCATATGAAACCCATGATTTGTTTCTTAAAACATAATTTTGTAGTTCCAGTCATACAAAACGTAAGGCAACCAGCGAGCATCTGACAAGAGGCCACCTGGCTGAGGACTGTCTGATTCCATAGCAGTGGATTAAAATAATGAACATGGCCAACGAATCAGATTTGTCAAACTCCGCCATGACCATGTGGCAGAAGATACCAATATGGTCACAGTCTTTTCTTTATATATTATCATCAGGTAAATCACAGATGACCAAAATCCTCAGACATGGCAGTTTCAAGCTCCTCAAGGAGGAGTGGCCAGTGGTCAGGAGCTCTGCAGGGCACATAGTGCTGTTTGCCTTCACAGTTGACTAATGTCTGCATAAAGAAAACTTGGCATCTGCCCAAGAAGCTTCTTGTTATCATAAAAATCCATTAAAAAATTGTCCCTTGATTGAAGCTAATGGTAAAAAAAAAAATAATTCTAAGGGGTTTTGAGGGGGTTGAAGGGTTTTGTTTGGTTTTGCTTTGTTGTGTTTGGTTGGCTGTTTTTGTTGTGTATTTTTTTTTTTTTTAAGGGATAGTTCGGTTAAGTAAAACAAGACTTGCAGGAAATTAGAGCAATGGGAGCAGTTTGTCCTATAATTACCCTTAAAGAAAGCTAGGAAAGCCTTGTTAGTTGAAAACTTTTGTCAAAACCAAACCTTCAAAGTGATTTGGATACACAGGTATCAGAAATGACATTAATTTCTTTTCAAGAAAAGATAAACTAGATGCTTGTTTCTGAGATGACAAATGCTTTTTAAAAAGACACTTAAAATCTGTGGAAAATGATGGCTTGCCTTCCTGAAATTCCCATGATAAGAAATCTTTTCCACTCAGGTTTGCAAATAGACCCAATCATAAGAAGTATACATATTCCACAGCTTTCTTAATAAATGTTCAAGACCCTTAACTAAAACAAATATTCAGTATTATTATTTCTTCTCTTTAGACCCAAAGTAATTTTTAATGGGAAATCTAAGAGTGCCAGCTTAAAAAAACACACAGACGTGTTCATGAACAAACCTGCATTCATGTTCCTTCTTCAGACCATCCTGTTTCCTTTTACAACCAGAGGTTTAATGGTCCACACAAACTGCTACCATTCATTTGAAAAGGCCTCTGGTTATTGTTGCTTGACTGTCTAAATTGCAAATACAAGAAGCATCTTCAATATTTTCTACCCAGCATGGGTGGACAAAACCTGAGAGGATTAGGATGGGCTGACAGAGGAGCTGCATTTAGATCATTTATCTAGGATATTGATAAGTGTTGCAATATTGCTACAGATCATATTGCCCCAGCAGGTGCTACCATAGGAAGAGCTGATGTATATTACGTCTTTCAGAGATACCCTTTATGGATATTCTAGATGGTTCTAGACAATTTACAATATTCTAGACAAGTAAAAGGCTGAGTTTTTCAAGCACTGCCTCCATTTCTCCATACATAATCACTATGGAAACAAGTTTGAGAAGTGACATCCATGAACCCATTAGTTGTCACAAATTACTGCTTATAATTTATATTATTTGACTAGACAAAAAATATTGATGAACAGATTATTGTAAAACCCGAGAAGAGCATTAAAAAGATCAATATTTTTTCTACAGCAGCGTGAAAGCAACGGGCACGATCACCGATCATTTAATTTTCCTTATTACTTTATTTTGGACAGCACTAACCTTTGCGTTAGCCTCGACAGGTTGTTTTTCGCGGACATGGCTATACTGTGAACTGCGGCATATCACAGCACCGCGTTTTCAGCAGCGCCCTGAGGGCCACCCGGCCTGTCTCCTACAAATACTCTCCAAATAACACTTCACTCCCTACAGAAAACATCCCGCTTTAACACGCCGCCGACAGTAGGGTACGCTTCAGCTCGCTGCCGCCTCAGCTTCAGGCGGGCGGAGTGCTGGCCCTGCCGGCTTCTTCACCGCGGATGCCGGTTTCCATACATATCCGCCGAGTGCCTAAGCGGGCATGGGGCCGAGCGTGGACCCCACAGGCGCCACCATTTTCCCCCTCACCTCACTGATCCGCTGCCCCTTCGCTAACTAGCCCAGACTCAGCCCCTTCCTGCCCCTCACCAGAAAGCGATAAGGGAGAATTCTGGTTGTTTTGCCTGGCAGGGAGGAAGGAGCCATTTCGGGGTGCGAGGGGAAGGGCGAACTCCGCGGCCCAGGCGCCAGGCCTGGCCTCCCCTTGCTCGCCTCTGCTATCCCCTGACTCCAGGCAGCGGGCTTTAAAAACCGACATGGTGGGGGGAACGCAGACATGACCGAGTCGCTTCATCCGCACCCACAGCTGCTTCAATGCCCACTCCGCCACCCTTCAGCCTAGCTGCCTACCCCGCAAGGCCTGGGCCTCCTGCGCCCCCCACTCTCCCATTCCGGCCCCGCCACACTCCCCCTCCCCCGTACTGCAGCAGGGGCTGGAGCGGTAAACCCCGTGCGCAGGAACGAGCGCGGAGGGGAGGGGGGGGGGGGGAGCCAGGGGGGCAGAGCGGGAGGAAGGAGCGGGAACTGTCACACAGTCAGTGGTGCAATATCCTTCCGCGCTCCGAGGAAGAAAAAGTAGCTCCATGTTCCTCTGACCTCGTGGCCTCGAGCGGATCAGGAACCTCCTTCAGAGTACCTCAAACAGCGTAGTGAGTGGTATCTCTTGGGAAGGTGGCTCAATCGGGGGGGATTTGTATATTTTTCTCTGTGGCGTGAGGTTTATATCCATGCGCAGAGAAGAAGAAAACGAGTCCGGCAGCACGGCGGGTATATAAAGCGGGCGCGGCGGAGGGCTTTCCTTTTCAGTTGTGGACAGAGCTGGTGATCGGAACATGTCAGGCGGCTCCGCGGATTATAGCAGGTATGGCGCGGCGTGCAAAGGCCTTGGGCCCCCTTGGGCCCCTTCCTCGTGAAGGGGCTCGGTGGGTTTGGCGGAGGTGGCCGGGGAGAGGGAAAGAAGAGAGGGTATGCTTCGGGGGGGCGGGGGGGGGGCTGCGCGTTCTAGGCGAGAGCTCTGAGGGCGGCTCGGCGCTGCGGTTATTCAGCTCTTGTGCCTCAGATCCTCCCGCTTCTAGACTTTTCGGTTCCATTCTTCGGGGTTTGCTTTTTTGTTGTTGATTTTTCTTAAGAATCCTCACCCTGGAAAAAAAAGTAAAAACTATTTTTTTATTTATCCGCACATACTGAGCTACGTGGTAACTAAAATGTTGGAGCGCCTTGCTGAGGAATTTTCTTCTTAAGCCCGTCTCCCCCGCCTGCCCTCTGCCGTTGGTTCGCCCCACGTTTGCGGCCCTGGTTGAGGGCGAGACCATTTTCTCTCGGAGGGGGGAGGGCGCGGCACCCTGGGCGGCCGACCAGCGCTTCCCTCCGCCTGCGCGCAGTGTCCAATTTGCGCAATCCCAGGGGTGGAGCTCTCGCGAGAGTTGGTTAGGGCGGGGCGGGGGGCGCCGCAGCGGAGCCGGGATCCCGCCCCCCTTATCCCGCCACCCCCCTTTCTTCACGGCAGGCGCTGCGGCTGAGCTGGCTTAAAGAGTGCGCAGCGGCAGCCATTGTCCCGCTCCGTGCCCACAACTGCGGGCACAGCGTGCACGGCCCCGCCCTACAAAGGTGCCTTCATGAGGGGGGCGCTGTACTCCGTGGTATGCTGTTGTTGTCTTGCCCGCTAGGTGCTTGGGTTGGGGTTTTTTTTTCTAAAGTCAAGTCTGTTACGCTGGGGTTAAGCCATATTTTTTTGGTGGGTTTTTCTTAATTCTGAATTTTGCCACGAGCCCCGCTGTGGCAGGAAGGCTTCTGTCACGTTGAGAGCTCAGGACTTCGGCTAGTGGTACCTGATCCAGTGGGGGGAGGGTAGGAGTTCAGCCACTGGCAAAACACCAGAGCACCTGCTATAATGGTCTGTCACGGGTTTCAGATGCGGCTTTTGGCAGCCAAGATGTCGGCTTGTTTCTGCGTGTTAGTTGCTACTGTATTAACAGCTTGTTCTGTTCGGTGACAGAGACCATGGCGGCCCAGAGGGAATGGACCCCGATGGTGTCATTGAGGTAAGCACATGAGAACTGACTGAGAATTTATAATCGCTGACAGAGATCAGTGTTGGATTTAATGTTCTGTATTTCTTTATTACAGAGCAATTGGAATGAGATTGTTGACAATTTTGATGATATGAATTTAAAAGAATCCCTTTTGAGGGGTATTTATGCTTATGGTTTTGAGAAGCCATCAGCTATTCAGCAGAGAGCTATTATTCCATGCATCAAAGGTATGTGGGTGATTCATTTATTACCAGCATTCTATAATTGGGAAAATGTAAAATATATGCATGGGTAAATTATGGTGCAATACCTATTTTCAATCCTTACTAAAAAAGTGATATGATGGTATACCATCTTTCGGGACTGACCTGAAATGGAGAAAACTCTTAATACTGATCACTTATTTTAAAGGGGATAAAATAAACTGGAAAACATGAATGATCTGTGTGGGAGCAGTAAACGTGTATCCTACTTTTTTTAGGGTATGATGTGATTGCTCAAGCTCAGTCAGGTACTGGCAAGACAGCCACATTTGCTATTTCCATCCTGCAGCAGTTGGAGATTGATCTCAAGGAGACCCAAGCACTAGTATTGGCCCCTACCAGGGAACTGGCTCAACAGGTATTGATAGTGTAGTTACAAAAAACTGCTTGTGTGTTGCATGGGTTTCAGGTTTCACAACTGTGAGACAAATGGACTACTGAAGGGGCTGTAGGTAATATCCATTTAGAGCCCTTTCTGTGTTGAGGCATGGGGGATATAAACTGGCTTCTGTCCCACAAATTCTCTGCCTGCTCAAAAAACGGGTAGGTGCATGAGGAGGATGTGCCTGGGGCAGGGATGCAGGAGCCAGCTGCAGTGCTGTGTATACTTATGAGGGGGCACCTTCAGCAGAAAAAAAAATACAAAACCCTTTATTACAGTGTTCTGAGTGGAAACAAAGCATACTTTTTTGAAGTTATTTGAATTTGCATGCAGTTGTGCAACATGGAAACTGTGGTGTGCATGTGGTCATGCTGTTACTGCATGTCTGCTTCACCTTCAAGGCTCTATTCTGTCCCACTAAGTGGGAATGTTTAACAAAGCTTACAGGATATATCAGTAATATGGGGTCTTAAGATGAAACACTGAACAGAGCTCAAATAGAATAGAAACCAGATTATATAAAACTGCGTATTGTCTTCAACTAGAATATACTGAGATGCCAGTGCTGTTGTGAAGATTTGTGAAGGTAAAGCTAAACACAACAAATGAGACAGGAAAGATTTTTTTCTTTTATATAAGGCAGATCTGTGGAACAAGAGCCTGTGATCAGAATGTTCAGCCTTAGTTCTAGAACTCTGGAGGATGGGTGAGATTAGACATGCTTGAAACCTGGCATATAGCAATGCACTTACACACTCTTTTCATGATCTTTCTGTAAGTGCTTAATATGCAGACCTTAACAGTTGGAAACTTGAAAAGTTAAAACAGTTAAAAAGCAGAGTCCCATCTGCCAACAGATGCATTATAGTCACTTTTTTAGCTAGTGCAACTAGTGAGGACAAAAATCTAAGTACACCTCTGACTTCAGCTTTCTAGTAAACAACTTCAGTAATAAGCCGTTGGGCAAAACCATTATTATTAGCTCCCTGTTCTGACCATAAGAGACACATTGTCCTTGTTTGCTCTCTTGGCTTCCAAAGTGTGCAAGCAGCAATGATAACAGGGCTTAGTCTTCAATGTACTAGGAACTGCTACTAACAGAAGGGCTTTATTTTTAGATTCAAAAGGTAATTCTGGCTCTTGGTGACTACATGGGAGCAACATGCCATGCTTGTATTGGTGGTACAAATGTCCGCAATGAAATGCAAAAGCTTCAGGCTGAGGCTCCGCACATTGTGGTCGGGACTCCAGGGCGTGTGTTTGATATGTTAAACAGACGCTACCTTTGTAAGTATGAATTTAATTTTGGTTTTGACAGTAAATTTCAGTATAAATTTCACACCAAGTAGGAGCTTAAATAATACATTTGTTGTCATTATAGAGTTGTACTGGAAAGTTCAGTCCTAAAGGAGAGTGGCGTTAACAAAAGTAGCGTGTTTCTGAAACCTGAGATACTGTTGTGTTTTTTTCTTTAATAGCACCTAAATGGATCAAAATGTTTGTTCTGGATGAAGCTGATGAAATGTTGAGCCGTGGATTTAAGGATCAGATTTATGAGATCTTCCAAAAATTAAGCACAAACATCCAGGTAAAAAAAACTACCTATGTGCTTAAATTGATACATGCAGATTTAGTTAAAGTGTAGCTGAAAATAGTAGAATTGTCTTAAAACTGGTGTCCCTAAGTATGTACTAACACAACGTAATAACATTCTAGGTTGTGTTGCTATCGGCTACAATGCCAATGGATGTGTTGGAAGTGACCAAAAAGTTCATGAGAGATCCCATACGTATTTTGGTGAAGAAGGAAGAGCTGACTCTGGAGGGTATCAAGCAGTTCTACATTAATGTTGAAAGAGAGGTTGGTATCAGTTGTACTCGCTCTGAAATTCTCTCACCTTCTTGTTATAGCACTGTGCTAAAATTACGGAAACCAAGGCTGAGCTTTGGTTTCTGTAGTAATGCTAGCAGAGTACATGCAAGAAGAAGAAGAACTGCACTGGATCAAAAAAGACTAGGGTGGACCTCTTTCTTAATGTCCGCTGTCCTGTGTCTTAAGATTTGGTGCAACAGTTGATGCAGAAGCATTGATAAGTGTGTTGTTCCAAGTTCTCAGGTTTTATGGGATATAACTGTACTAGGGCATGGATAATTGGTTATTGCTTTTGATTTTTAGCCTTTTTTGGGATTCTTGTTATGCCTGAACTGTCATTGGCACAATGCAGTTCCTGACCCTCTCTGTTCTGTTCAGGAGTGGAAGCTCGATACTCTCTGTGATTTGTATGAGACGCTGACCATTACACAGGCTGTTATTTTCCTGAATACAAGGAGAAAAGTAGACTGGCTTACTGAGAAAATGCACGCCCGGGACTTCACCGTCTCAGCTCTGGTAGGGATTGATACTTGCATGTAACTTCTGAGATGTGCATGTACGGAAAACCAAATCATAATGAGCTGTATGTGAGTGAAAAGCAGGAAAGTTATGATATAGCTGTGCAGTGCTGTATTATCGTTCCCCCTGCTTAAAGAAAAATGTTTCCTTCTATCCCTACCTGCTTTGTTCCCACGGCAGGTGGGGACGCTGGGTTTCATACATACTTTGTTTTTTGAGGGCTATCCTAATATTGAGTATTGGAACTGTAATATTTACAGGTTTTTTTTTTTTTTTAATTCTACAGCATGGTGACATGGACCAGAAGGAGCGGGATGTTATCATGAGAGAGTTCAGATCAGGATCCAGCCGTGTCCTGATCACCACTGACTTGCTGGTGAGCATTCCACTCAAGACATTTGTTTAAAGCTGGTGCCAAAAGCTTCATAATTTGGGGAAGGTTCTTGTAGCCTGAACTACTTGGAGCTTCTTGGAAGAGTAAAGACCACGCTCCACTATGGGCTACACAGTTGTAGTTCATCACTAACCATGTGGCCGACAAAAGCCCCCACCCCGCCCTAACTTCACCTAGCCTGTGACTTGAGTGACTGACTCTGTATTGCTTTTCAGGCTCGAGGCATTGATGTGCAGCAAGTGTCATTGGTTATAAACTATGACCTGCCAACCAATCGTGAAAACTACATTCACAGGTTAGTTGGCTCTATCATCTACTTGGTGTGCAGTGCTTGAGTGTCACATCCTCTGCAGAATTGGCACCAAACCTCACCTGTTTATTGTCTGTAGTCATTGCCAATAACAGGGGGTGTCATGCATCCATTTGTACAGTAACTGCTAAAAAGCTATCAGGAAATGCCACCAGTGGTGCTTCATCTTTAAAAGGCCCTGACTTGCACAGGTCTGATTCTGAGCACAGGAAGGAGCAGGACTTCTGGACAATAAAGCAAAGCAGTGGGAAAACTTAAAATATGTGATGGATACAGTGATAGCTGAGATCTGAGGAAATTGCTGGTTACTGAACTACCTTTGTCACATAGGTCACGGAGTAGGATTACAATGCCCATTTACTGACATAGCATCTTGACAGCAGTGTAGTTCCATGTGTACAGGTCCTAGCTAATCTTTAGTCTTTGGTAGCAGCTGGTCCTGTCAATACAGCATAACCTGGCCAGCGGCAGATACCAGAGCAGCAGTAATGATGAGTGGATCTTGCAAACATTTGCAGTGGATCAGTTAACATCTGTGTAAATGCATTCTGGTTTTGTGCAGAATTGGTCGTGGTGGTCGTTTTGGCAGAAAAGGTGTGGCTATAAATTTTGTCACTGAAGAGGACAAGAGGATCCTGCGAGACATTGAGACTTTCTACAATACTACAGTGGAGGAGATGCCGATGAATGTGGCTGATCTCATTTAATCCCTGGGATGAGGTGGTTTGATGCAGTGCTCGCTGTTGCTGAATAGGCGATTCACAACGTGCATTGTCGCTTCTTTCTTTGGGGATATATTGAATCTTGTCTCAATGCTCATTACGGATCAGAAATACAGAATTTTGATAAGAGAAGCGACTTTTTGTCGTGAGCTCTTGTGGGGAAAGCCATTGGCTTTATCCACTTTAGGGTTAGACTGTTGGGGTTGGGTGGAAAGTCATGGGGTCTGTAAATTTTTTCTTTATTAGAAATTTATTTCCTAGTTCCATAGAAGTGGTTGTATTAGATGTTCTTTATCATTTAATAATTTACTTATGGACTAAAAGATATAAGTGCTGTATAAAGTCAGCCAATTATGTTAAACTAGCCTACCTTCCTTTATTACATGTACTTACACTTCAGATTGAATTGGAAAGGCCTTTCAAAATCTCTCAACTTTTATAAGAGCATTAAAATGCATTTTTGTTTCATATGTATTTATTCAATAAAGTATTTAATTAGTGGTAAGTGTGATTTGGACCCTGTTGCTAAGCCCCAGCAAGCAAGCAATCATACTATTGTCTTAGTTAGGGTTAAACCCAGTAAAATTTGCCATATTGCACATGTCTTAATGAAGTTTGAATGTTCAATAAAATACTTCTATATTCACTTACATTGTAAATACTTGGTTCCTAGGGGGTGGGGGGGGGAGGGTTGTCCCTCACTGGGGAGGCGTTATGGCTATCTCAGATCAGGCTCAGTCTGGCATGGAAGGCAAAAGTGGTAGCTGCTGCTGGGGTTGAGCAGGCCTGGCTCTGCATGGTTCCCTTTTGTCAGGGACTTCAGAGGCTGTTTCTACAGTAGAAGATGGTGATCTTGAAGTGCTAGAGGCTGTTTCTGTGTGACACAGTGTTACAGACACCTGTCCACCTCCTTGAGCTGAGACACCCATCGCACTATGAAATGGCTGGCTTAGTACCCTGTACTAAAATCTACTGCCTGCATCATCGGTATGTGCTACCAGACCCTGGAACTCTGCTACCAAGGAAACCAACAGATCCTCAAAGCAGCATTCATGAGAGGAACTGACTGTAGAGATGCTCAACTATCCCCATGTTCTGTAGCCAGGCAACAGATAAAAACTCAGTTTGCCAGCAAGGACAGAAAGGTATAGTATAAGCCACTTGAGAGGATTACCTCACCTTCACCCCCTGGTTTTTCTTACATAGCTAGAATGAACTTAAAACGTTGCAATAAAGTTAATAGTGTTTTGCGGTATTTAATGCTGAAGGAGCAGACAAATGGAGGCAGCACAGGCCATGCTCAGCCCAAGGCCTCATGGTCTGTAAATATGTGATTGTTTTACTACATCAATACTTTCAAAACCAACTAATGTCAACTAAGAGGAACACTTCATACTTTCTTCCTCTGCTTTCACCTGATGACTTACTATGTACATGCTCGTTTTCTGATGCGTTAACCTTTCCAGGTACAAGTCAACAACTGCGAAGCAGCAGCAGCGCTGCCCCCTCAGCAGCTAGAAAGCACTCAAACCTAGTGTGAAAAAAAACACTTCAGCAGGATCTTTTCCAACTGCTGAGCAGCCCTTTTATTGCCAAAAAACCCCCCACTACAAAAGCACCCAGAACCTTGCTCTCAGAACCTTGGCCCCCTGTGAAAAAAAGCTGTTCCATGCTGCAGAAGTCATTAAGTGTTCTGTGTTAGCTGCTGCATCACCAAAGCACAGAGACTCATCAGCTGCAAGTATTCATCAGCACCATCAGCCAAGCATTTGTCTACTTCCTGCAACAGAAAAGAGACGGTAGAAGCCTCTTAAAATGGGGGTGCGTAAGACAGTTGCCTCTAGTTACAACGGGGAACACCAGATGATGTTCACCCACTGTTAATCAGCAATGACACCTCTGGCACACATCACACAGCCATCACACCAACCTGGGACAAACTACCTCCATCTTCTCAGGCAGACCAAGCCATGACAACTTATAGGAAAGGATGCACCATTTGCTCTGCAAGTAACTGCTATTCACTCTTCTTAAGTGATTTTAGCAAAACCTCCACCACAGCTGCCATTTCTTCTTGGTCAAAATTTAGCAAGTTAATGAGTTCTTTGGACAGGGTGTATTTTACACACCAGAACAAAACTTTGCAATTTGCAGCTCCTGATTTTTTTTCTTTAGGTGCTGACTTAATTGCTGGTGCCCAGTGATAGGACAAGGAGCAACAGCCATAAACTAAAACACCAGAAGTTTCAGCTCAATGTGAAGAAGAACTTCTTTACACTGAAGGTGGCAGAGCACTGAACAGGCTGCCCAAGCAGGTTGTGGAGCCTCTCTCTCTGGAGACATTCAAAACCCACCTGTATGTGTTCCTGTGTAATCTGCTCTAGGTAGCCCAGCGGGGCTGCACTAGATGATCTCCAGAGGTCCCTTCCAACCATAACTGTTCTGTAAGCTCATTTTAATTTTTCCTCCCACCTTGTATTAAAACAAGCCAAACCCCTAAAACCACAACCACCACTCCATGCCAAAAAGAACCAAACCTACAAATCTCCTTCTTGAGTCCCATTAGAACAATATAATATGGCTAATAATTCACTTAGTTGGATTTCAATTCCTTCTCATGAAATTTGAGACAAAAATTTAGGCTCCACCAAGAAACATTCAGAACTAAAAATCAAAGCAGCATTTTGGGAGAGAGTGCCTGAACAAGAACTAGTCAGTGGAGGTTAATGTTGTTTTGTTGTGTTTTAACTCAGGCTAGACTTACCGCAAGTTTCTCGACTATGACAGATTTCTGCTTGTCACTGTAATTTTCACTCTCAACAACAGCATCATGCAGCTGGTTTACAAGCTGAGCAACAGCATACCCATCATTTACGAGATTCTGTCAGGCAGAGAGGAACACAGAAACAATTCAGCAGCAGAAACACCACAAACTGGAAGACTAATCTAAAAAGTTGTCTGAACTGAGACTGTACTAAAGTGTATTACAGAGCTTTTACATCTTAGAGGACGAGTCACTAGGTTTGTATGCAGTCCAGCATCCCACCTGACAGGAACCCCAAGTGAGTGCCTAGAAAAGACTGCAAGAGGCTGGCACACACATAGCAGTGATTTTTCCCAAATATTCTTCCAGCTTCTGACAATCTACATTTTGTGGGTTTGAGGCATTTTAAGCATTTAGCAACCTCCACTGAACCTGTCCAATCTTATTCTAAAATTAGGAAAGCATCCACAGCATCATGTGATAGTTTCACAGCATTCGCATTTTAAAGTGCCACCTGCTTTGTTTTCCTCATCCAGCAGTTGCCAGCCTCTGCCCCACAGAGATCTCTGCAGCCAAAACTTCTTTTGTAAAATAAAACCCATGGCAATTAATGGTCACATTTTTTTTTTTTTCAAATCAGTAGTGCCCAGTTACAAAACCACCAAATACTGAGAACAGGTGTCCAGGAAGCCATTTATGCAGAGAGAAGTCTAGGAAATTAGAAGAAGAGCTGGTGCAACTGTATTTTTCTGTACAGCAAAATATACACCTGCGCTTTGCAGAGGCATGCATTCAAGTTGTGTCAACTGCGTATCAAGCACTAATACTTGAAACAAAACCCCACCATTAAGTACCTGCTCAAGGAACTGGAGAGCAGTTCCAAATTACTGCATTAGATTTGACAGTGGTTTGATGAAACACTATACCAGCTCTAAGGGTTTAGAAAATCTGTATCAACACATCTTAAGAGCAACACATTTTCAGACATCATGGTAAGTAAACGTGAAAGTGGAAAGCAGTGACAACTGCACAAACCATTCTAACATCTGCTACCGGTTTCCAGAATCAGAAGTCCTGTCAAAACCACCCGACCAGGCTCAGCCAAGGGAAAAGAAGGAGGCTGATCAATATCAGCTTTTTTCATATGGGCATGGAATGTTTCACTGGAAGGGAGAATGTACTATGGCTTCCTCCCCTCTGTCAGGGACAACCCCTTGATTTAAAACCCAGTTCAAGACTGATAGCTTCCTTTAAACTCACGAGATCAGGAATTACCCATTCTTCAGAGGGAGTAAGAATCTCTTCTGTATTAAAGAAAACAAATCTACCTCTATGAACGCTTAGCTTGTGCCACCTCTGGCAAGATCTATTTTAAGACACTGCAGTTCGTAAGACAACTGTAATCACTGCTGTACTGTGAGACTGACGTGAAATATGTTAAAACTGAGGACTTACTACAGTTTTATTCAGATACTTCTCATTTAATGCAGATTCCGTGTTAATTAAGGAAGGTAGTAGTCCAGAGACTAGCCCAGTACCCTGAAGACAGTTCAAAAGCCCTGAGCCAAGTGTCTTGCTAGGAACTCCTACTCTGCCTAATTCAGCCTAACAGCTCCACATGTCATCAGTTTAACTCACACTGGTATGGAATCTTATTTGCAACTTTGACAGCTCTTCTGACAGCTCAGAAAGGAAAGACCAGGGTACTAACTGGTGAAAGACATGCTTCCTGAAATGTCAATCCTAACTGATCTGAGGCCAAACATTCTTCAGCCCAGCAACAAAGGATTCAAAGGGCAGCAACCAAGAAAAACATTCAGGCTAGAGTACTACCTTTGCCAGTGTTTCCAGTTTCTCAAATGAACCACTCCAGCAGACAGACAGCAGTTCATCAATTTTTTCTCTAGGGATGACCTGTAACAAGAAGTTACATTTCTTAATTTCAACTCTGTAAGCTTAAATTGAAGTTGATGCTACAGTAACAGTTACAAACTGTTTATGAAGGAAACCATTTTAGGGTTTCATTCCTCTACACACCCAACCCCTTTCAAGCAAGTATGTAACTAAAACTACCTAAATTCTAAGAGTCAAAGCTAGGCTGTAATGTTTGTCCTACAGCAGTGACAGTACTTGGGACCCAAGTTCATAGGCCAGATCTAGCGGGGGCTGGTGGAGCTGGTCCAATAAAGAAGGGCAGTTTTGGTAGGAGGCTTGCCAGACTGGTTAAGGAGACTTTAAACTAGATGTGTTGGGGGAGGGGGGCATCATTCCATCCCAACACACACAGTCAGTTGCCAGCACCTATAATAAATGCTCAGAGCAATGCAGAGATATTACGGCTGCTCCAGCCAATGAGCCGGCTTCATTTGGAGCTCGGCTCAGATGCCTCTATACAAATGCTCGTATCATGGGGAACAAACAAGAGGAATTAGAGATGTGTGCTCATCTACAGGGGTATGACATTATAGGCATCACAGAAACATGGTGGGATGGCTCCTATGACTGGAGTGTTGGAATGGAAGGTTCTAAAGACAGGCCTGGCAGGCGTGGAGGGGGAGTTGCCCTTTATGTTAGGGATAGGCTGGAGTGTATGGAACTCTGTCTGGGGACAGGTGAGCAGATAACAGAGAGCTTGTGGGTCAGTGTTAAAGGGAAAACAGCGATGGGAGACATTACTGTGGGGATATGTTATAGACCACCTGATCAAGAGGAATCTGCGGATGAAGCACTCTATAGGCAGATAGGAAAAGCTTCATGCTCACAGGCCCTCGTTCTCATGGATGACTTCAACAACCCTGACATCTGTTGGAATGATGGTACGGCCCGGCACAAGCAATCTAGGAGGTTCCTCGATTGTGTGGAAGACAACTTCCTTCTGCAAGTAATAGAGGAACCGACAAGGAGAGGTGCCATGCTTGACCTTGTGCTCACCAACA